GGAAACCAAGAAAGAAGTTTCTACCACAACATGGAACAACCATCCAAACTGTGGTTAATGTAGTCTCAAAATGGCGAATTTTTCAAAATCCTCATTTCTTAAGTTGCATCGTCAAGTTTCCAAACCCTTTCTTGAAAATTCCGCTTGACCTGCTTTGACCTCCAATTCGAGTGAAACTTTCGGGAAACCAAAATAGAAGTTTCTACCACAATATGGACCTACCTTCCAAACTGTGGTTAATGAAGTTTCAAAATGGCGAATTTTTAAAAATCTTTATTCCTTAAGTTGCACGGTCAAAGTTGTAAACTCTTTTTCGAAAATTCCTCTTGACCCCATTTGACCTCCAGATCGAGTGAAACTTTCGGGAAACCAAAAGAGAAGTTTCTACCACAATATCAAACCACCATCCAAACTGTGGATAATGCAGTTTCAAAATGGCGAATTTTTCAAAATCATCATTCCCTAAGTTGCACCGTCAAGATTGCAAACTCTTTTTCGAAAATTCATCTTGACCCCATTTGACATCCAGTTCGAGTCAAACTTTGGGGAACCCAAAAAAGAAGTTTCTAACACAACATGGAACTACCTTCCAAACTGTGGGTAATGAAGTTTCAAAATGGCGAATTTTTCAAAATCCTCATTCTTTAAGTTACATCCTCAAGTTTGCACTCTTTTTTGAAAATTCCTCTTGACCCCATTTGACCTCCAGTTCGAGTGAAACTTTCGGGAAACAAAAAATAAAATTTCTACCACAAAATGGAACCACCATCCAAACTGTTGTTAAAGTAGTTTCAAAATGGCGAATTTTTCAAAATCCTCATTACTTAAGTTCCACCGTCAAGTTTGCAAACTTTTTTCTGAAAATTCGTCTTGACCCCATTTGACCTCCAGTTCGAGTGAAACTTTCAAGAAACCAAAAAAGAAGTTTCTACCACAACATGGAACCACCATCCAGACTGTGGTAAATGTAGTTTCAAAATGGCGAATTTTTCAAAATCCTCATTGCTTAAGTTGCACCGTCAAGTGTGCACTCTTTTTTGAAAACTCCTCTTGACCCCATTTGACCTCCAATTCAAGTAAAACTCTTGGAAAACCAAAAAAGAAGTTTCTACCACAATATGGAACCACCATCCAGAGTGAGGTTAATGTGGTTTCAAAATGGCGAATTTTCCAAAATACTCATTCCTTAAGTAGCACCGTCAAGTTTGCAAACTTTTTTTGAAAATTCCTCTTGACCCCATTTGACCTCCAATTCGAGTGAAACTTTAAGGAAACCAAAAAAGAAGTTTCTACCACAATATGAAACCACCGTCCATACTCTGGTTAATGTAGTTTCAAAATGGCGAATTTTTCAAAATCCTCATTTCTTAAGTTGCACCGTCAACTCTTTCTTGAAAATTCCTCTTGACCCCCTTTGACCTCCAATTCGAGTGAAACTTTCGGGAAACCAAAATAGAAGTTTCTACCACAACATGGAACTACCTTCCAAACTGTGGTTAATGAAGTTTCAAAATGGCGAATTTTCTAATCTTCACCTTCCCTTTCTTGCAAACTGAACTTCAAAAATTCCCCCAGCCCCCATTTGAACTCCAATGCGCGTGAAACTTTCGGAGCCTGGAAAACGAAGTCTCCTGGACCCAGCGAGGTTATGAAACCGGCCAAAGGAAGCAAAAACTGCAAAAAATCGCCAAAAAGCCGGCCGCTCGTTGCAAAAGCAACGAGATGGATGGAAAACCCTGGAACTGGATCTGGCTCCTTTCCAGAGCCTGGATCCGATTGATGTGGTCCGAAATGGATCAGGGCCGGCACTTTTCATCCAACAGCTGCTACCTGGCCGCTCCAACATTGAATGTCTTTGCGTGCTGCAGCTAATTTTGACGAATTCCCATCCCAGATAGCCTGGATTCATCGCAATCGATTGTACAACCAGCTGTACATCTGCACCATCCGGGCGCACAGTGTTGCCAACAGGCAGGCAATTTCCTCGTCCTCCGTCCAGTCGCTGTTACATAACGCGCAAAACCGTGCGAATGTTGCAACAATTTGTTTATTATTCCGCATCGGGTTGATGGGGGATCGGCTGACGTCGATGGAGCAACGAAAATAGACAAATGCCGATGAGAAAATACGTTTGATTGTTTGTCTGCGCTGCGAGGCGCAGATGATGATGATGATTAACGAGGACGAAACGCTGACAAATGACGCCTGGCGGCCGGAATTCCACTCGTTTACTATTATGTAGTTTTAGTCGGGGTTTTTAGTCGCTGTTCTGGACGTTCGAAAAAATGTGATTAGTGTGAATTAGCGCGGAAACAGTGGCGTGCAGGCCGAATTCGCTCGGGTTCTAATCGCGACCAGTTCAACGACATTAAAATGCGTTTTCACGTGCGACTTTTACCGCAGCAGAAAACGGCTTCGGCACTGTTTCGTCTAATTCGGTAAAACTTTCATTTTTCGCCTGCTCGGCTGATTTGCGCGAAGTTTTCTGGCTTCGGGCCTGACCCAAGGAAGCCCAACATTTAGCCGCTCTTTCGATCGGAACTCGTTGATTTTCGTCTAAAGGCGAATTCAATTTTCTTTCCAAAGTGGGTTTTGAATCCGGAAAATCTTGGAAACTCTTCAAGTTAGAGGCGAGTCAACATTTGAACCTTGATGGTTACTCTGACATTCTGAAACTTTCAATAATTCCAAAATAGACACGACTGCTAAAATCTGCGACACTCCACTGGAAAGGCACTGCAGAAACCTTTCATTGGAGCTAAAAATGAGTTTTGTAGCTTCAGTAGTTTCTGAGAAAAGCAACTTTGAAAATTGCATCTTTGTAGTTCCAAAAGTCAGCCACTCTTTTGGTCGAAACTCGTTGATTCTCTGGGAGATTTCGGAAATTTTAAAAGAGTCTGAAGAAGACTCGCATTTTCTACTA